ACAGCGAAGCATACAGTATTACTGCTTACATTTCCTAAAGTATAAAAGGATGGACCTCCACATTATGAATAGCAAAGAAGTGCCCAATTTCTGTTTCACATTAATTACATGTGTAGGATAACAGGGTTCCCACACTTTTCGACCAGTGAATTTGTATTCATTTACAGCTGATTGATAACTGGCAGAAAAAAAAATCTGATTTTAAAATACATTTAAAAATCACAGCAATGTCTATGCCAAGTAATAGATTTAAATGATAATATTTAGCATACAAACTTCCACAATAAGAGTCAACAGATATCTTAAAGTTATGTGGACATGGTGTTGTCTACACAAGCACTCAAAAAGAACAATATAGGTGATTAAACATTTTCAAACAGAGCTAATCTAGAAAAAAAGTGAATTCTACATTAAAGTCTTTTTAGCATTGAACTAATTTACACTACTTTTCCAGGCCTGAAAAATCACAACTTTAAAATTCCATTCTATGTTTTAAAATTCCGTTCTATGCCCAGGTTTTCATGATTTGTGAATTCTGATGTGTTATCATAAGTGGGTATAACTGATAAACACTCACATGAGCAGTGAGAGCATCATTGGCTTCCCGCTCCGACAGTCCATTGGTTATAGATGTGGTGATGCTCACACACCTCTCCAGGCGCTGAAACAAACACACACACACACACACACACACACACTAACCGGTGAGTACAGAGCAATATGAATGCATGCATGAATGCCATGCCAAAAACACCAAACAACAAAATAACTCTACAGATCCCAATAATAGTTCATGCATAAATAGTCTAATCTCAATTAAAGGCATGACTGCCATTTTTAATACCTTCCCCATCAGATGGAGAGTCACTGACACCATCAGCTGTCATTAGTACATGTACGACATGATAACATCATTGCATGTTCAGCACACATCATGTTTACACCGCTGCCTCAACTCCTTCCTTTATATTTGAATCAACAAATAAGATAATAAAAGACTACAAAAGCCATCCCTGCTCTACAAGTCTGATAGTGTCAGCTTCTCCATTCTGCTCGTCCTTTTGTTATTGTACTTAGTTTTCCCCATGTTTTTCTTCGCAAATGTGTGCTGTGAAGGACGCGCTGACACGTATGTTGACGGCCGATGGGAATGCGTCGATCCCTACCTCCTCCAGCTCATCTTTGGCGTCCAGGCTGGTGGACACCAGAAGGCGACCCTGCGCTTTACCCTTAGCCGGCGAGGGCTCCATCTCCTCCCGCCTCGCTGCGCCCACACACACGGGACCTGACGGGGGTTTAAGGCGCTGTTTGAAACCCTTCCCTCACTGTTTCCGTGGGTCTGTGGTGATTATGAACTATTTAAACCCTCTCTCCGCCCAGTCCTAGGCGCCTACAGTGTGTTTACGACTCTTAAATCGCCACCTTCGCGCGACCACTCCAGTGTTTCCACAGTGTCCGACTGTAACAATTCAACTTCCGCAGTGCATGGCGGCTTAGCGGAAGTGTTCCGAACGCGGAGTGAAGGCGGAGCGGAGAGACTCATTTATACCAATCGCGTGCTGGGTATTTTGATTGACGTGGCAGTTGACCAATCACGGTGATGGCACTGTCAGCGAGACCCGTCAGACAAAAAGAAGCCCGTGCAACTTGACAAGAACGCTGCTTCTGTGTAAACATGTGGGTAAAATCTCAGACAGACAGTAAACTATAGGGTTGGAGTGAATCTAATGAAACCTGGATAAATGCGTCTGACTTTTAAATGTGGAAACAGCAGACATTGTATCGTATTGGGGCTCTCCTCTTAACAAGAACAAGCAATATTATTCGAAGATTTTTTAAAATATATATGTTACTATTATAATTAACGTAATAACAAAAACAACAACAATAATCGTTATTTTATAATTATTGCTTTATAATTAATTATAATTCATAATAGCCTACATTCATTGTAATTAAGTTTTGTTTTGCAATTATAAAATTGTAATCGAAAGTTATGATTATTATATTAAAATACAATCAATTCCATATATCACTGCTTACTAAAAAGCTAATTTCGGGTACATATATTTTTCATAAATATATACTATATGCTGTTATTTCTGTTTCAAAATGATTTTATGTAATTCAATATTGCTAAAAGCCATTATATAAGCTATAAAATGTAAGCATATAATACATTTTAATTACAGATATGTGGTGTAAGATTACTTTATTAGTATTAGATATTATTTGATATATATAAAGCATGTTTAAAGCAGCACTATGTAAAATTTTCTGTGTTCAAAATTTGCAAAATGTATATAATGAGCGAGTACATCATGAATTCATCTTCCAAACCGCGTTTTTGTCTTATTCCGAATCACTACGGTACACTTATAATAAGTACTTATATTTGGACTATTGTAGCCTGGTCGGGTCGTCACCGCTGCGGAGTAACACATACCTGCGTGAATCGCCAGAGACATAAACTTAGAGAAGTAGCTCCGGTTGGAATGTTCTTCCGCGGGATGTGTGCAGTTCTGTTTATTAACCGCTAGAGCGCCAAAAGTTACATAGTGCTTCTTTAAAGCGTATGGTCTTCTCAGTTTACTCATTTTCAATGTTAAATTTAATACATACATACCACAATATTTGATATGTATATAGTACAATATATATTCAATATGATTCAATATAAAATCACATACATTACGAGTATATACAAGTAAATATATTGTCATATTTTCATGCTGTCTAATCATCATCTTGATATGCCACACCTGTGAGGTGGATGGATTATCTCAGCAAAGGAGAAGTGCTCACTAACACAGATTTAGACAGATTTGTGAACAATATTTGAGAGAAATAGGCCTTTTGTGTACATAGAAAAAGTCTTAGATCTTTGAGTTCAGCTCATGAAAAATGGGGGCAAAAACAAAAGCGTTGCGTTTATAATTTTGTTCAGGGTATGAAAAGCAGCAATTCCTTATTTAATATATTGTAATATATTAACACAATATATTATTCTGCATATTTTCAATATACAGTAAACATATTTGTTGTTCATTAATAAGTAAATATATTTGAACAGTATTACATTTAAACAGTAAAACAATTAATATATATTTATGAAATTGCAAAAATGGAAAACATAGAGGTTGTTTTGGTTAACAGAAATGACACATGGCAATTTACCCCAATATAAATGATCTCTACCTGCCAAAATATAATTGAAAAGTGTTAATATAGCAGTGCTTACCTCTTAGATGCATTATTCTTTAAAAGGCTGACTTTGTGAGACAAATACCACATTACTGTACACCATTAATTAGTGAAGATGGCTCAGTGTTTTTAATGTGTTTATTTTACATAATCCCCCTCCCATCAAACATAAAAAAACACAATAATCAATTTAAACTTCACTTAAAGACTTTGTAGTAATGTAGCTATTCAAACCACACATAGAGGACAGATTAATCAATACAATCAATATTCATGCCCTCCCAACAGAACTGCTGCTTAAAGACTGTACATCTGACTTTATCAATCAGGATCTCATGACACAGCTGTCACGTCCACGTGCTGCATTGCTACAGTTTGACTGACAGTTGTCACAGCAGAAGATAAGTGATGAGGAAAAACACCGCATTTATTTACATCTGGGCCAGACATTCATGTTTATTTCAAAACTAGAGCAGCGTGATTAACAAAGCTTTTAATGCCACCAGATAATCGTTGGACTGTTTCCTCTCAGGATGCACTGTATGCAGTCATCAGCACAGGAAGTGGACCACAGATTTCGGATTGTACTGAAATGTAACAGCCATCCCAGAGGACTCTGACCCGGTGAGATTCTATGGCTCAGCGGGTGTCATCGCAGCAGGGAAAGTTTCTGTCCACATTCTCATTATCTCAGCTTAGACACAGGGAGGTGAACTGACACCTTACAAAACTCCAGAATCTGTCAGAGTTTTCAGAACGGGGGAGGAATATCTGATTTAACTTGATCTTAAACTTCATGCTGGATGGAATTGGGCATAGCTGAGATTTCGTCGTGTGCAACAGAAAGCTGTTGGTTAGAAAGTTTCATGTTATCAGAAAATCACATTGATGAAGATCTGATAAATCTGATATGATCTTCAAAACATCGAGAGCTGATAAATATTAAAAGGTGTATGATGTAGAAATGTGGATGGTGGTTCAACTTTGCAACATCCAAACCTAACAAAGGTATTACGCTTATTGAAAACATAACTGTTCCTGCTCTTGTTCACATTCGTCAGATTCTGAAGACACAAAAGTTTGTTTACATAGTTGAATTACTATAATTGTAAGGTTCCAGCTACTGTTCATGTATTTTGTATGCATAATTGTTAGAAATGTGGAATTTTAGGG